CCGCATGACGACGTAATGTCATGGAGGCCGTCCTCGGAAGGCTGCCACTTTCCCACGATGGCCCGTTCGCTCCAGAGGTACCAAATGCAATGTTTTAGTCAACGGACTAAAACTATGACGATGATGGCTATGAGCAAGTCTTCCGCGACGACGGTTGGCCGCTCGGACGACTAGGCTTCGGCACTGAGAACGTCTAGAGTAGTAGAAACTTCCTCAGTGCACTACTCAACGACGCCTTTCCTGTTTGCTTTACATTTGCACGTTGATATTCGCCAAGTTCCTTCCACCTTGCCCTATTCTTGGTGAAGCCGTGAACACCCCGACCGTAAAGTTCAGTGCCTGCATCAGTACAATCTCGTTTTTCCCGTGACCATCACAAAACTTTTCCTGGCGCTCGCTCGAGGTGGGAATTCCACAACCTCAACCACCCAACCTTCTCCTTGAGCTGTGGTTTGCGTCTTGGCTGGATGACACCAGCATTTCGCAGAGTACCTGGTTACACTTGAGCCTTGTGACATGGATTTTTTCAGGCATATGGGCCACGTGGACTGTTGAGCGTCTGTGAGTGGGGGACGTGGAGGCAATCGTTCATTGATCGGCCTGCGACACGTCCTTTGGTCTCAACAAAGGCCCCGCCTCTCGCTTCGGCACCGACGTGGTTTTAACAACTCTTGGGTAAAAAAGGGCTGGCCAGTTGCCGTGGGAACTTCCCCGACATAACTGCGTTTGATGTTGGCGAACTTTAGATGGCCCATTACTGAACGACGGTAGGAGCTAAGAAGCCAACCCTTGATCCTCAATTTATCGTTGCCACCCGGTAGAAACTTCCTGTGGGGACACAGGTCGCCCCGACGTTGGACACGGGGCGTCTCATGACGGGGTAGAACGAATCACCAAGACTCAGTCCTTTGGAATGCAAACAGGGCGGTGCACACCAGTTTGAGTTCGCTGGGCGTGTTCGAGGCATTTCCATCGATCAGTGCGCTACCTCGTAGACTCGCCCATGCCATTCGGCCACTTTTCGTGATCGCGAAACCAACGACGTTCGCGCGACTTTTGTAGTAATTGTTACGAAGGAAATGCTTGTTTGGAAATGGCCAAACCATGAATAGCAACACGGAAACCACTAATTGGCAACACACTACGTGAGCGATCGTGCACGCTGGGCATGCTTAAGCATCGAGTTACGACCGATGGGCTCCGAGCATCCCTCGACCAGGTTCCTTTCAGTTGTCGTTTCTCCATAACTTGGCCACACCTCCCCTCACATACCGCCCAGATTCCTCCAAGGAACAGACCTCGTGTGTCCTACACTGTTTCATACATTGAACGACGTGATAAAACAGTTCACACCAAAGGTAGTTCGTCGCAAAAGGTCAATCGGAGCCTGGAATACACCGCATCGACTGCAGCTCACGAGTGCGCATGGTTTCCATGTAATTAGATGTATCTTGCCATGCTGTGGACTCGGTGCGACGCGTGATCGGTTCATGCTGAAACATGTGGGTGCATGGGTGCTACAGATATATCCAGCGACAGCAGGACGTGGTTGAACAACCAAGGACGCCAGCCGCCTTCCTGTAAGCCCTACTTGGCACGTCGCGTCATTGTTGAACGTGCCTGCATTCAAGCAAGACCATGCAACACAGCGGTCGCGATCAAGATTTGCAAGAGCGCGTATCGTACATCCAGTCGAACACCAACGACGGTGACAACAAGGGCTATGAAGATGCCAAGACGCCCGGGGAGCTCGAAGACGGCGCCCTCGTCGCGGGTGGGGCCCTCGACCTCTTTTCCCGCGAAGCCATCGGTCTATTCACCCAATATGCGGCGATCGGGATCATCTACGGCATGATTCCGGCGCTCAACTACCCCATCTTCAACGTGTACCTGCAACTCGAGGGGTTCCAGACGGCGTCGTATTCGACGTTGGTGACGCTCGGTTGGTCGTTCAAAGTGTTCATGGGGATGTTCTCGGACTGCTTTCCGATCTTTGGGTACCGCCGCAAGTCGTGGATGTTGATCGGGTGGACAGCGACCATGATCTGTTTGTCCATCATGACGTTTTCGTCGCTGGGCGACCCGTACTGCGACCGTGAAAAGGCGGCCGAGCGCAACTCGAAGGCGTGCTCCAAGCCGTACTCGAACGCGTCGTCCAGTGACCTGGACTTGTTCAACCTGGCGGCACCGGACAACGGGGGCCTGTTTATCATTCTGTCCATGTTTGTGTCGCTGGGGTACGTGACGGCTGCGTGTGCGTCGGACGCGATGGTGGTGCAGTATGCGCAGCGCGAACCCTTGGCGATTCGCGGCCGCGTGCAGACGGCCATCTACGTCGTGCGCACGATGGCAAGTATCATATCGTTGATCGTGACGGGCTTTGGGTTGAACGGCGCCAACTACAACGGGTCGTTCTCGTTCTCGATGGCGCCCAACATCCCGTACGGCATTTGCTTGATTCCGTGCGTGATTGTGGTGCTGTCGACGATCTTTGTGGTCCAAGAAACCAAGACGCCCGGCGTTCCGATCTTCGAGTGGGCTAACAACTTTTGGGAGCTGCTCCAGAAGCGCGTGATGTGGCAGATCTGCGCGTTCCGGTTCATCAACAGCATGTTCCAGAACATCGGGTCGACGGCGACCAACCCCGTGGCGAGTACGTGGGCCGAAGTCGAGCCGTTGAACGACTCGTTGTCGTCGATCATCGGGAACGCCATCTTTTCGGCCATCCTCGTCGCGGTCGGCAAGTGGGGTCTGCACTGGAACTGGCGGTGGGCCATCGCTATCAGCTCTGTCGGTGTGATCGTGGTCGACGGGCTTGTCACGTTCATCACGATCTGGAACGTCTTCCGCAACCAGTGGTTCTACACGGGCGTCGCGCTCGCCGACAACGTGCCGGGTGGCGTGCGCTTCATCGTGGCGACGTACTGCGCCGTCGAGATCGCGGACGCCGGGAACGAAGGCGCGACGTACGGCCTCGTCACGACCGTGTCCAACTTGGCTTCGCCGTTCGCGTCCGTCATCTACAAGTACATCGACTCGTACTTTTTGCTGTCGCAGGACGACCTCAAGGCCGACACGACCGAAGTCCGATGGGACGTCACGTACTCGTTCATTATCTCGTACGGGAGCAAGCTATTTGCGTTGGCATGGCTGTGGATGCTGCCTCCCCAGCGTGGTCCCATGCAAGAACTCAAGAAGAAGGGCGGCAAGAGCA